GCCTTGACACTGTAAGTGGGTTATGTGAGAGCAGCCGCTCTTGTTGTCGCATGGTTTTGAGGCAACGGTGTTGTAATGGTGAGACTGCAGACCATATTTTCACTCTTGCGGACCACTGGTGATCCATGAATCATAGGTTGGGAACCACTGATCTAGAGGTTTCTGATTAGCTGTACTTGCAGGGGTAAGGTCCTTCAGATATTGTTAGACTGGAACTCCCAATATTCTTGACCATCAGGTATGCTTGGTAATGAGAGATGCAACACAGCAATATCTGGCTTGATTCTGATGCCATCAGTACATCTCAACACTGATCTTTGCTAGATATTGTGAGACTTTAAAAATAAAATCTGGTATCTATAAACAAACACTTGGACAAAGCTGTTTCATTCCTGGAACAATTCCCTTCTCTTTCTCCTTATTCAGGCTCTGGAACAGAGTCTGTATATATCCCTAAAGTTTTTTCATAATAGAAAACAGCATACACTAGTGATTTCATTCAAGCTAAATAGAAGTCCTAGCAAAGGGAACAAATATGAACATGGACACAGAGGAGGGGAAAATGCAACATTTTTTAGTTTACGACTCTATTTTGGGATGGGATGGTCAAGAAAAAAATTAAGCGTCTTATGTTGTGGTTCTTAAAGGAAGTAGTCCCAAGGAGTTATATATATTTAACAGCTAATTAGTGCTGACATTTAACTGTGTTTCAATCAGATCTAGTTTTTGGCATCATTATCTGTATTTTTAACATGCTGTGAAGATTCACTTTACTAGCTGCCTTGCTGTGTTTGGGGGATGTAGTACATTCCTCAATCATTACTCAGGGGTCAAAATTATTTTAGTATCAGGGAAACAGGAAATAAAACCAGCTTTTTGGAGTCTGAAGGGGTGAGTTGTGGCTTCTTTTTTTAAAAAAAATGGGGTGAAAAGTCCTTTTCTTAGTAAAAATACCAAGGATGCTAGGGATAATAGCAAATGAGTGAAGAAACTGTCTAATGTTACAAATGATTTGGAAATGAATGGCTGAATTATTAAGCTCACTATTTCTGGTTTCATATTTAGGAAACAGGTTTTACTTTGGGAGTTAAACTTTCAAACAAAGTCCAGTGGTACAAGCCCAAAGTATGATATTATAACCCATTTTTGGTTGTAACAGAGGTTGAAATTCTGTTCTTCCTAATCAATGATAAAAATCCCTCTAAACCCATCTTTTCTTTCTGCTGCAGTGCCTAAAGACATTTCTGTGTTGATGGATAGTGAGAAAAGACATGCATCCAGCTATTTTGCTTCAGCTATGTAAAACGGGACTCCCAGGTGTCACTAAGGATGTATGTTATGGTCTCTTGAGCTAAAGGGAAATGCAAAAAATCAGTGCTGCTCTCCTCCAGACCCTGAAATCTCCACTGGCAGGGAATTGGCCATATAGATGGGGCTGCATCAGGTGAAGGGCTTGCAATAGGAGACATATTGTAGCTCCATGCTGGAGATATTTGGATCTCCAGCATGGAGATCTCAGCCATAGTTATTTATGATTTTTTTTCCAGTTTTTATGTTGTTTCTGAGCTGCTGTGAAGCTTCTAAGCCTTTGAAACCAAAGCATTGCTTGTGGAGCACACTCCAATTCACCTTAAGTTTTGGGGTATTGACACAGTGAATCTGACAGACACGATGAGAAATAAGGAGGTGAGAGCACAGACTTTTGAATACACTGTCCATCTTTTGCATTGTAGTTGACCCTCAATATCCAGAGAGTATGCATCCATGGATTCAATAAAACATGGCTCAAAAATATCCCCCCCCCCCCCGGTACCATTTTATATAAGGGACACTCTTTTACTATGGCATTCTATATAACAGGACTCTGGCATCCATGGATTTTGATATATAAATAAAAAAATAAAACCCTAGTAGATACCAAAGGTCTACAACTCAACAACAGAAGACCTCCTCAGGCCCTTGCCTCCTTCCTCTGTAGCCTTCACTCAGTGCTGCTGTTTGGTTGCATAACCCATTGATTCTCTCTCTTATTTTTCCTTGTCTTGAAGCTTGCTTCTCAGCAACTGTATCAAACTTACAAATCCCAGTTATCTTTTTTCCTGGGAAAAAAGTCTCAAATATTCCATTCTGAAACCTCCATGCCCTTCCAGAGGACAGCCTATCCATTTGCAAGCAATGGTCAAGGGAATGGAGTTGCTACACTCCAGCTCTCAGTAAATGTTTACTATTGGTTATTTGTTTGATAGTAGTTTTTTTTAACTATTTTATGATGTTGTTTTATCAATTTTATTGTGTTATATTTTAACTATGTGGACTGTGCTTATACTCATGTAAGCTGCCCCAGGTTCCTTCAGGGAGATTGCGGTGGGATACAAAAATAAAGATTATTATTATTATTATTATTATTATTATTATTATTATTATTATTATTATTATTATTATTTGCTGGAATTAGGGCTGACGGTAGCTACAGTACAGCAACACTTGGGATGACGAATGATTCCCCCCCCCCCCCCCCCCACACACACACTCATTTAACATTTACTATAGGAGTCCCTGGTGGCACAGTGGGTTAAAACCCTGGGCTGGCAGGACTGAAGACCGACAGGTCACAGGTTCGAATCCGGGGAGAGTGCAGATGAGCTCCCTCTATCAGCTCCAGCTCTTCATGCTGGGACATGGGAGAAGCCTTCCACAAGGATGTTAAAACATCAAAACATCTAGCCGTCCCCTGGGCAACATCCTTGCAGACGGCCAATTCTCTCACACCAGAAGCGACTTGCAGTTTCTCAAGTCGCTCCTGACATGACAATTTTTTTTACTGCAATACAAAGACTGAAATGATGAGAACACCAATGATTCTTCATTAGAATGAGCACCTTTTCCCATAGGAAAGCAGTTTGACAGTATGATGGCAGGTCTTCTCTTGCAGCCAGCCTCATATGGCTCACTCCAGTCCTCCTTTCTCTTGGGAAAGGCAAAAGGCTACTGTGTGTGTAGCTTAATTCGTTGTGTGTGTGTGTGTGTGTGTGTGTATCTTCCAAGATCCTGTAGACCTATGGCAACCCCATGCATTTCACAGGGTTTTCTTAGCCAAGGGATATTCACTTATTCAGAGGTGGTTTGGCCAGTTCCTTCCTCTGAAATATACCCTGCAGCACCTAGTATTCATAGAATCAACAAGCTGAACAAGATTTTTTTATGTTCTTGGACTCGGAACAACAATGCAACTTACCCATAATAAGAGAGAAGAGGGAATCCTTGGGGAGTTTCATTTGCTTCAGCCACACACTCTGGGGTTTTTGTTTCTTTAATGTGTCAAGACTTGCTTCACCGACTTTGTTTTATTTCCAGAATGGAAAAATTACTCTGAACACTGTAAATTCTAGATTGTTATATAACACAGAAGTCTGCCAACTTCCTGTGTGTGCTATAATTTGCACTGCGCTTACTCACCACCAATCATTGGGTTATTCTTCTGAAAAAGACCAGGTAATGAAGAAGAGAGTCCAAACTTCCCACTCCAAAAGTAAAGGCACTCTCATTCACTGTTTTAACCACACTCACTAGGGCTGACCTTGCTTAGCTTCTAAGATTAGAGAGGACATGGTGCCTTTAGGGCAGTGTTTCTCAAACACTGCTCCTCCAGGTGTTTTGGCCTTTAGCTCTCATGGAGAAGCTGCTCTACATCATCCTCCCTTTCCTGGAGATGGAGAAGTTCATCCGAGACATGACTCAATGATGGGAGTTACCCTCTCATTCCTTGCTTTAGATCTTGTTGAACATCTACCTTGTTAATCTACCATCTTCACTCCATAATTTTAGTTAAATTTAAGAGTTTTTAAGGATTTAATATGTTTTAATTGTGTGGATTGTTTATTTAAGTTGCTTTTATAATTTTTATTGAACTTGCTTTGATTTGCTATATGTTATCCTCAGCATTGAACGTTTGCTACTGTGTTTTATTTTGTTGTAAGCCACTGTCATGTATCATGTCCCACAGTTGATGGTGGTTGGTAGTGGCAGACCTAGCAGTTGGTGATGGAAGGGTTAAGGGATATGTTAGTTCTAAGGGATATGTATAGTTCTAAAGAGCTGAGTAATTTGTAAGTAACAGTTTACAGGTAAAGGCAATTAAGGGTTGAGGTTTGCAAGGGTTAGGTTGCAGCTGGGTGTTACTGGATTTAAGGAGCTAACTGTGGGGCTGATATTTAGGAGAAAAGTATTTGTTTTATCTTGGTGGTAGATGGTGCTGGTTTTTCCCCAGGTTTCTGGATTTTCAGTGTCCTGACCGGTCTCCTGGAACCTTGAATCTTTGGACTGGCTTTTGACTAGGGTATAGATTCTTGATCCCTGGACTTTGCTCACTGAACTCTCGGCATTTGACCACTGAACTGGAACTTTTGACTACAGTGTAGCGTTTGCTATCGGTTTTTGTTTCATATTCTGTAGCTGAGTGCTATCTATGTTTTATATTTTTTACTATTAAAACAGCCAGAAAGTAAGTGCTACTTTAATTAAACTGTTTGAGACAAACTGGGTGTTTGTTTGATTTACCTTTGCCTGAATACTGGCAAAGTCCTGGCATTGTGACAGCCATCCTGAGTCCTTTCTGGGAGATACAGTGGGCTATAAATAAAGCATTATTTATTTATTTATTTATTTATTTATTTATTTAGCTATTTTGAGAAACACCGCTTTAGGGTATTTAGTTACTTAGCCCTATTGCATAAAAAATAAATTTAGTGAACTTCTCCATAAACATGCCATCAGGGCACCCTGAGCCTGCAGGCAGTACAGGTATTTCTCTACCAGAGTAATCCTTCAAACATTATCATCAGGGTTTTTCTGGAGGAGGGCGAGGACATTTTTATCACAAGTTGAATCATTGTTCCCAAGTTTTATTGTCCATTGGAACAAAACCCATGTCATAATCAAGATTTTGGAAATATGAATTTGACCTCCACAAAATCCATGACACAAAAACTAGAAGAGAAAAGTAAAGTTCAAAACTTTATTCATTTACTTGGTTTGAATACAACAGTGATGTAGATTATAGTGGCATTAGGGTGGTTGGGTGACGTTTGCATCATGGAAGGAAAGATGAACAGCAGTGATGGCCAATGTGTTTGGTTTTGCAGAAAAGCATACTTAACTGTATAGACAGGCATTTGTGATCTTTAAAAAGACAAAAACCAGAGGCTCCAAATCAGAGCTGTCCCACAATAAAAGGGAGAGGGGAAACGAACAAAAGGGAAATAATCTGAAAAAGGCTACTTTTTCTTGTTTCTGGGAAAGGGTTGGGTAGGGAACATGTAAACATCTTGTATTTAAAAACCTAATAAAAGTGAAGTAGAACATAACTTATTCAAAGTGATCTTTCTACCAAACAGCAGTAAGGCTCCCTCACTACAAGGGTTGTCATCAATCTGGACTACTTTGCATTAAATGGGGTCATTAACAATACAAAGTAGCATAAACAGTACTTGAGAAAGCAAAGTGGAGAACTCTGGCCCTCTAGTTGCTTTTGCTTTGCAGTTCCCATTATCCCTCACCTATGCTAGAGTTAATGAGAAGTGCAACACAAAAAATAATCTGAGGGCCACAGTTTCCCAGCTCTATGATAAAGGCTTTTCTGATCTTTCTTATTAGAAGGTCTTTCTAATTAGAAAAATGGACAAAATGTTCCAATAAGCTTTATGGAACTGTCACCAGAATTTGATTGTTTCCCTTTTATACACCAAGTGTTGATTAGTCTTGAAAACTGATTGTCCAAATTCATGTATAGATTACTCACAAAGAGAGACTTAAATGTAAAATTGCCATTAAGAGCAACAAAAACTTGTCATTGCTGTACCCCATGGCTTTTAATCACCAAAATTTCTGTTGATGTTAATATTTTGATGGAAGCCACTGGAAAATAATGAACAAACTCATGCAGTGTTATCATTTTCACACATGGATGAACATTTTAGGAAGGAAATAATAAGCCTTTTGGTTCCTTCCCATTTAAAAAAAGCACAGTGAAAACTACTTGAAAATAATCAAAGTATTTTCCATATTTTGACAGGGGTTTAAACTAGACTTGTTTGGCCATCTTCTGAAGGCAGGTCTTTATAGAGTTGTCACCATTGTCCCAGGCAGAGATTCTGTACTTTCAACACCTATGTTTCCTCAGAAATACAGCTGTTGTAGGTTTCTCTCTTTATATAACCTCAATTCTAACAAAGCAACACCAGTTAATTTTTTGGTAGAGAAAATGGCATATTTTGAACATGAAAAAAGTTGAGTGAGAAATTCCTGTTATTCTAGGCTGCCATTTGGATCAAGCAGTAGAGATGTTAAAGTGGTTAGAGAAAACAACCCCATTGTTAAGCACCATTAGGAATTAAGCACCTACCTCACTGGAGGTGATTAAAATATTTCAAATAGATGGTCACTTGAGTATTGATTCCACCACAACAGAGTCAAGAAGTTATACATAGATAAATTTTAAAGGCATGCTATAAGATTGGTAATAGTGATAGTCTTCATTCTGGGGTACTTCCATAACTGTTCACTTTGAAATAGACCTGGTTTTCTCACATACTTTTTATGGGGCATCTACATAATCCAACCATCACATCATTTTACAGTCTCCATGGCTACACATCACAGTAGTGCTTCACTTCCTTTAAAAAAAAAAAGACCCTGTCGTTTTGACATGTAAAATGACTGATAGAGAGTGGAAGGAATTTGTCTACGATTGCACACCTGTACTATTAATTTTTTCATCAGAAAAAATGTATCAGTGTACGTTAAAAAAACCCCAAAATGTGCATGTGCCTTCAAGTTGCCAATCAACTTATGGTGATCCTATGAATTTCATAGGGTTTCTTTAGGCAAGGAATTATCAGAGGTGGTTTGTGTTTGTCTAAAATACATGTTTCATTTCACCCTATAATGCCTTTTAACTCATACATTTTAAAAAATGAAGTATGTACACACACACACACACACACACAAACAATGCTTTCCTTTCCAAAGAGTGGAAAGTTGCTTACAATTTCACATGTTGTTTGAAATGGTCATGAGTGGATCATTAGTAGTAGTCAAGAAGCACCATCTAAGTGGCAACATCAGAGATTGAAGGCTTTTACCGGCGAACAGTATTAGTTGCGAGAATTATACCTTAGGAACTGGCAACTTGCTGTTGTGTGCCTTCAAGTCAATTCTGACTCAATAGGAGCCTATTTTGGCAAGGTTTGTTTAGTTGGGATAAGAAGGTAATTTGCCCGTGATAATCCAATGGGTTTCCATGGCTGATTCAAGCTCTGATCTCCCACATTCCTAGTCCAATACTCAAACTACGACACCACACTGCTTCCTATACCACTCTGGGATCTATTAAAAACTTTAATAATACTAAGATTTATCTGTCTTTGATAATGCCTTCTGGTTTATGTAAGAGTTCCTCCTCTCCTAGAAAAGTTTATGAAAGACACAAAGGACCACTTAACTAGCCATTTCTATTAATGGTGAAACCTCCAAATTCTCCATGCCTTACTATTATGTTTCTTAAGTTACTTGGTGTGGGGGACTATAAATCATTGTTTCCAATAGACCAAGGACTGGCATTAATTTTTTACACATTGGAAACTTGTCAGGGACCAGCAGCCAATGGTTCAACACCAATCCAGAGACCAGTACTTTGAGTAGCACAAGAACCACCCTACTTTTCTAAGTTAAAAAGTTGACTAAATTCTGAATTAACCAATGTGGAAATTGTGGTAAAGTCAAATTGGAGGAAAAAACAGAGGAGCGACCCAATAATGATATGAAAGAATGAAAGGCTGTGATAGGACTTCGCATTCCATGTGGTTGGAGCCTACAAATAATAGCTCCTTATATGGTTACAGCACCACATAGGATGTTTTCAAGCAGCAACCATGCAAAAAGCCATTTACTTGCGGTTTAGCACCTCTACTGCTCAGCTGATGACCAAAGTAGGTGGTCATGCTATTCTCACACTTTCTATGGGCCCAACTCAAATATCTGCTACAGCGCATAGCACAAGAGAAGTAACACTCAGGAAAGGAAAAGCAGAAAGGATGTCAAACCACATAGAGGCAGTGGATGGGGTGGTAGTGCAAACAGCAAGCATAAGAGGAAAGAAGTCATCTATTCCTTTGTGATTAGTTGGTTTCCAGTCCAATGTCTCCAAAGAAGAGTGTGGCCCATGATAAACCATCCATCCGGAATGACCTTTTGAACATAAATGGGAGCTGATATGAAAACACAGGTCAGCCCAGTATGATGACATATAGTGTATCATTAGAAATAAAACAAAGCTATGTATTCCAGTTTGGAAGTTTCTCTAAACCTCTTAATTCTGTTGCAATTTGTCTTAAGTGACAACGTAATTTGGGGCACATGGCAATATTTGAAGGGGCAACTCTTCTGTTAAAGAGGCACCTCCTTGAATAACAGGTAGCAACTGGCCAGGTAGCAACTGGCCATGTAACCACTGAGAAAGCTGGTTAATAGTATTATTCTGTCAAGTGGTTGGGAGAATTTTCTATCTCTCCTCTCTTTCCCATGGTTGCAGTATGCAAATGTGAAAAACTGCATTGTCCCTTGCCAAGATAGTATAGACATGGTGTCACAACCAATGACTACACTAGCCGGGAATCCATTGGAATTATAATTCATCAGGTGGACACCAAGTTGCAGAAGGCTCCTATACAAATATTTTCCCATGCATTTTATTACTTTGCCCACACACCAGATATAGATATATAAAAGAACCACTTTGTCTGTTAGGATGACAAACATATACAGACAAGAATAGTAGAGGTCACTGAAGTACAATTTGATCACTTGTAATGGATTCCGCTTTCCAAGTGCTTGCATGACCACTTACCACCAACAAATGCCTAGTTTATTCTCCTGTGGTTATCTCTGGAACAGCTAGTCAAGCCTTCTTATAAGCCTTCTGCTCACTAGGATACTATTTAGATGCACCCCCACTAGGAGCAAGCCTTATTGGAATAAGTTGCACTGTATTCAAATCAACATGGTACACAGAATTGCACTAGGCGAAGTGTTACCATGAAATCTGCATACTCAATTTTTTAAAGGGTAAAACTTTAAATGGTGGAAATCGTAACTCTGAGTCAAAGATCAACATCTATGTGTGCTACCATTGGCAAGAAGCAACTTCACATTCTGTTGAAACAGGTTTTATATGAGCAGAACATGTCCTTCAGGCAGTTGAGCTACAGGGAGGCCACCTCTTCACAAAAGACACTCTGGGGAAAAACTATGTGTAGCACAATGAGTTTCAGTAACTGCCCTGGGTGCTCCTTCTTCCAGGCACTGAGGGTAAATGAAGAAAACAACCTAGGTTGCAGCTTTGTAATAGTAGAAGAAAGTCAAATGTAAGCCTCTTTGTGCAAAGAGCGAGTGCATTTTTCCATCAATAAAAACAAAACAATTTTTCTTAACTTGATATATTGTGCAGTGTCACCAGTGCATACACACAACAGTGGTTGGAGCTGACACTTTTTTTTTAGCAGCAGAGCCTGTCTGGGGGAGCTTTGTATCATCTCTAAAAAACAGTTAAAACGTCATTTCCTTGTCATCCAAGTTTCAGAGTTCACCAGTAGAGTGAGCCAGCAAATGATGCCAATAGTATCTGTCTGTTTCAACACACTCTGCTCTGATTCAAGTGCTTTTTGCCAAGTGAGAAGGGATTTGCTTTGGCAAAATCTGGGCCCATCTCATACTATCTCTGTTTGCAAAATACAGCCCTTTTTGCATGACAATATAACAAGCAATGACATATTTTTTCTTTGCAAATATTACTAGTGTAGTGTTTGGCCAAGATCATTACTATAGCAAATATCATGCCTTGGTGACTCTCCCACAGCAAAGGCAGCCTCTGAATTAAATCAAAATTTGCAGCAAAATACTGTTGAAACACTATTGTCATTTCGTTATTGGAAATGTAATTCTCTCTTTCCCCCACTTTGCTTGCTGATCTTGTTAAGTTTCAATGAATTGGTTTGAAGCAAGAGCTATATTAAACAAAGCAGGGGTCAAAGTGGAAGAGGGGAGACTAAGCACAGCAATTCACTGGCAGATATGTGCAAGTGGAAACTAGGAGTTTGCTTTCTGAACGTTGCCTGGTATATAGCAGAGCAAAGCAGCACCAGCTCAGAAGCCTGCTTTGTTGATGGGTACAGCAAAAAGAATAGGCTGCCTAGAAACAATGCCAAATAATTGTAATGGTTGTGCCCAAAGGGTAGATATATTACACAAAAGTCTTTCCTTGACTACAGAATATATTCATTCATTCTTCAGAGAAGACATAACTACATAACTGTGGGTTGGAGTCCCGTGGGCACTTCCTGGCTCTATCAATACAGTGTCCCTTGACCATACAAGTGGAGGGAACATGGGGAAGGCAGAGCAGCTTCACATTATGTATACATGTCGTGTTAAAACTTTGTAATGAAAAACAAAATCCACTGCTGAGGTTTTGAATAGGGACATGTTTGTGCCGTAGCTCTCTGACCAGCTCAACAGGCCATTTGCCCTGTTTGCAAGGCATTAATAGGCGCCTTTCTCAGATTTTCCCTTTCCCTTTTCCCCCCTCCTTAAGCTTTTGCTCTGCAAAAATTATCTGGACTGAAGTATAATACATTATCCTATATTTGATATTTTCTCCTTCAAAGGGTCAGACAGATTCAGAAGAGTTTGGCTTTCTTCTTCATGTCATGGCGTCTCCAGAGAGGCAACTTGTCAAACTCCTGTATCGTCATGCCGAATATTTCTTGAAAAACTTCAGGTGCTAGGTGACGCTAAAAAAAAGGAAAATAAAAAAGACAGTGGTCAACCCCAAGAGCACTATTTCTCTTAATTTTTATGAATACTCGGATATACAAAGCTAGACCATTCATCTATCAAGCTCAGTATTGTTAACGATGACTGGAAATTGCACTCCAGGGACATACTGATGAATGAATCTAGGTCCTTCTGCCTGCAAACCAGTCTTCCATGTATATGCTGTTTTTTTGCTGTTAATTATATGTATACATTAGTATATCAGTGTGTGCATGTACATGAGATAATAAAATTTGTATGAATTAAATATTTAAATGCATAAAATAGGCAAAGTGAGCAAATGTTCAGACTAATAAGACTTCATTTGTGTGGAAACAAGTTATGTTTCATGAGAAAACACACAGACTTTACAAACAATGCACATCACTATAGGAAGGAACACAGAAAGCAGCCTTCTCCTGAGTCAGGGTATTGGTTCATTTCAGCCCAGAGCTGGCAAGAGATCTCAAGGTCCTATCTGAAGAACCAAGATGTTCCACCATCCAAGGATATACTAGACTTGACCCTACTTAGCTTCTGAAATTAGCTGTTCAGTGTATTATGTTAGAATCTCATTTTTAGGAACTATGTGGTTTCAAAGTCACTGGTCCACAAACACAGGTTTCAAGTCTCAATTTAGGATGGTAGCCTAAAAACTCATCTAAATAAAAACAAAGTGGGGGTCATCCACATTTTTAATGTTCAACAGATTAGCATGTTATAAAAAGAAGGTCCTAGATCCAACATGGACATTGAAAGACTTCTGTTCTGGAGCCTGACATACTGCAGATACTCAAGAGTAGTCAAAAGTAGCTTATTTTTTGTTTTGGATCCAATTAATTATTATTTTAATGCATGATGTTCACCCTTTGATGCTCAACCATCAGTTGAGCATCAATATAACAATGATAAATATTCCTTAGCTCATTCATGCTGAAATCCTGTACACATTTACCTATTACTGAGTAAACATATACAGAAGTATAATAAACCTCTCTGTTTTTACTGTTTCATTCCTTTATACATTTTTAACGTGTCCACAGCGACTTGAGAAACTGCAAGTCGCTTCTGGTGTGAGAGAATTGGCTGTCTGCAAGGACATTGCTGAGGGGATGCCTGGGAGTGTTACCATTCTCTCATGTCTCCACAAGGGAAGCTGAAGCTGACAGATGGGAGTTTACTTCATCTCGCGGATTAGAACTGCCAACCTTCAAGTCAGCAGTTCAGCCAGCACAGGGGTTTAATCCATTGCACCACCGCAGCTTCTCCTTTATACATAAATTTATAAGATAAATAAAAAAGTTGATTGAATAAGTCAGTGGACCAAATTAGAAAAAAAAGATCAAAAATACTAAATGCATACAATGTATGCATTTTATATTTTTGATTGTATCAATGTATTCATTTCAGCCACTTCATTTTGCTAATGAAGGGCTTCTTACCTCCAGCCTGGTTCTGTCCACTTCTCTTAAAATTTTAATTCGCCCTCTGTTGGTGACCATCAGCATTTCATATGGGAATATCTGTTAATGATGGAGAAGAGGCATTTATGAAGAATTTATAGTGCCACAGAAAAGCATCATTAAGCTCAGAAGCACAATGTGCTCATTGTTGAAAGGCAGCTGCAAGTTCACTAACGGACTGCAAGAAATACTGGAATACAAAGTACACATTTTTCTGTACTTACCCAACTGTTACGTCAAAAGTTAATTTCTATGATCAAGATGATGTCTGCATAATTTGCTTTTTAACAAAGTAGCATTCTCTTTAATATAGGAATCTAGTGGATTCTTCCTACCCTTCTGTCCCCTATAGACTGGCACTCTGCATTTTGTTTTAATTCTTATTTGCTAAACAAGTGCAACATTCATACTGGGCCATTATTCCTCTTTTTCCTTATCACTCCCCTCTTCTGCCCTATTCTGAGTCTTTTAAGAAAATAAATAAATCTGCTTTTTGTTATATCTACCTATTCATCACACCCACTTAATTCAGTGTTTGTTTATTCATTCCTGAGTTACCCAGACACATACTGCATATACTTGAGTATAAGCTGACCCAAATATAAGACAAGACACTTAATTTTACCACAAAAAGTGGGAAAATGTATTGATTCGAGTATAAGCTGAGAGTGGGAAATGCAGCAGCTATTGGTAAATTTCAAAATAAGTATAGATACAAAAAGCATGGGGAATGAGAGAAAAAATCGATTAGGTCTTTTCCTTTTGAAGGCCCTGCAAGGAGCTTAAGAGTTTCATTTCCGAAGTTTCTCGAGGATCAGAGATGAAGGTTGTGATGATTACTATTTGATAGGGCAGCAGGAGGAATCCCCTGGTTCTCTGGATATTGTGGGACAGCAATTCCCATAATTCCTCACTATTAGCTATGTCAGCCAAGGTAGATGGGAGTTGTAAATCCAACATCCTCTGGAGTGCTACACTTTGACCTTCCTTGAATGTGTTAGCTTTTAAGAGTGTGGTGTTATTTAGACAAAGCTACTGCAGAGATATTTCCAAGAAACTAGGTTTTCTATGAAATTTTAAGGCAATAAAGAATATCTCAAATGAAAAACAGATACCAATTCAATTACATTAATTGAGGCATCAGTAGGTCAAATGTTTTTGAATATTTACATAAAAATGTAATGTAAAATAAGACTGCTCAACTCTAATTAAACCATTATTCTAACCTTCTTCAATGTAAATGTGCTTACGTCTCCTTCCAATAATAATAAAGAGAGTAAAATAATCAATGCAATAATAATAATAATAATAATAATAATAAGCCCCCAAAAGTTACAGAAAATAAACATGTCAAGCTACTCTGGGACTTCTGAATTCAGACTGACAGAGTTCTGGAGCACAATACTCCAGACCTCACGATCATGCACTTAAACACAATCGGCGCTGACAAAATCACCATCTGCTAGTTGCAGGCCACCTTACTGGGATCTGCATGCATTATACGTCAATACATCACACAGTCCTAGACACTTGGGAAGTGTCCGACGTGTGATCCAATACAACAGGCAGCAGAGAGATCTTGTCTGCTGTGGACTCATCTTGTTGTGTTTAATAATAATAATAATAATAATAATAATAATAATAATAATAATAGTAGTAGTAGTAGTAGAGTAAAATAATGGAAAAGTAATAATAACAGTAATAATAGAGTAAAATAATAAATGTAATACTATTAATAACAATAGAGTAAAATGATAAATGTAATAATAGTAATAAGAATAAAGTAATAAAGGTATAATAATAATAACAGAGTAAAATAATAAATAACCTGTACTCGAATATAAGGCTAAAAAAAGGCTGAAAAACTAGACTTATACTCAAGTATATATAGTATCTAGTGGTTCTTGATTCGAAAAAGGTAAATATGAGAACTATACACTTATTATAAAAGATAGATGGCCAGGGATGCAAATGTACAGCATAGCCAACTGCATATATTTATATTACAATGATTTTGAAGAATGTGGGTGACTACAGGCAGTCCCCAAGTTATGAACAAGAAAGGTTCTGTAGGCTAGTTCTTAAGCTGAATTTGTTTGTAACTTGGAACAGGTACATAGAGAAGGGTTAACAGCCCTGTGCTGTTTGTTTTGCTGTCTGTGTCCCTGTTCAGAAGATTCCACCTCACTTTCTGTCCCTGTGATAACTGGAATTTGAAAGAAATGACATGTTGTGGAAATAAGGATTGGCGATAAAGCTTCAGTGAAGACATCTTTTCCCCATGATAACTCTTTCGGGAGTGATTTTGCCTCCCTTCCTGTTGTCTCACCCCCGTTCTTAACTATGGGTCATTTGTAAGTCAAATATTTGTAACTTGGGGCCTGCCTGTATATGGAATATTAAGCAGTAGAAAATGGAGTGTTTCTCTAAAAGCTAACTGCAAATTCACCGCATGTCATAGCCAGAAAAAGTCTTCAGACTTTTGGAAACGGTTAATTATCTGCTCCTTTACATCCCCTGTTCATCACAGTGTTGCTCTGTTAGGCATCATTCCAAAGAATATGTACTAGTGGGTTGTTGTAGGTTTTTTTGGACTATTGGCCATGTTCTAGAGGCATTCTCTCCTGATGTTTCGCCTGCATCTATGACAAGCATCCTCAGATGCAGGCAAAACATCAGGAGAGAATGCCTCTAGAACATGGTCATATAGTACCAAAAAACCTACAACAACCCAGTGATTCTGGCCATGAAAGCCTTCGACAATATGTACTAGGTTGTAAATCTCATTAAGTTGAATAGAACTTACCTCTGAGTAAATAGGCATAAGATTGCACTGCATAGTTAGATTACAAATACATGGTTGCAATTATTTAATGGCCATTGATGCTGTCCCTTCATCAGATGCATTATCACCCAGAAAGAGCTACATAATTAATCCTCCTTGTAGCAAATAAGATATATTAATATCCTCAAGTAACATTCCAAGATCTACACCCATAGACATTTCATAAACAATATCTCTGCATTTCAGACACTATCGTGGAATTACTATTTTCAAAAGCACTGGAATGATAGAATAGAGTGGTGAGAGAAGTCTGAGTTATGTTCTAGCCCATATGAGCAAGTGCCTTTTAGGTCTAGTTGTTTGGTTGTTCATGAAATACTATTGATTCTGCACACTCAAATACCTGTGTTGACATTTAATACCTAGAAATATATTAGAATTATCAGTTTGCTGTTTCCAGCCTAGGAGACCTGAAACACAGTAACTTACATTTGTGTACAAACACATTTTCTATTTTGACCTCCCTATATTGGTCAATGAATCCACATACAAGCATCTTGTTTTGTTTTGTTTTATGTGATCCCATAAATATGACTACTACACTTTGCAATTCCCAGAATCCTCTTTCATTTTCTTGGGGCTATCCTGTCCCATACCTTTAAACTGAAAACTCTTGTAAAAAGTTTAATACTGCTTACTTCTAAATCAAAATTACTTCCTTTATAAAAACTGTCCACTGAATGAAACTTGTTTTTTATCACATCCACAAAATACGGAAATAAACAGTAAATGTATCATCCTGATTATCAGCTGAATTCCAAGACTCTTGGAGCTGAACATGTTCCATATGACACAATCTCTTTGCTCGAATAGTCTAGAGTTATTTGCACTATATATTTCTTTATTACTCTTTTCTCCTGGTGCATCATATTTGGTGGAGGTTAATCAGACACAGGACTGGATTAGCAAAATGTGAAGGTTATTGCTTTGGAGCAGTGCTTCTCAACCTGTGGGTCCCTAGGTGTTTTGGCCTACAACTCCCAGAAATCCCAGCCAGTTTATCACCTGTTAGGATTTCTGGGAGTTGAAGACCAAAACATCTGGGGACCCACAGGTTGAGAACCACTGCTTTGAAGGAAGGATTTAATGCCCCCTCTCATCTTTTCTTTCACTCTGTCAAAGAATCTAACATACGGATGGCTTGTGGATGGAGCTGGGGGTACCACCATTGACTATATGGAACTGCAATTTGTTCATGAGCCACCACTGACTGAACACAAAATGGGCACCTAATTCTTCCTCATGTTGTGGTGATCCCAATCATAACATTATTTTAGTTGCTACTTCTTAAGTGTGATTTTGCTACTGTTATGAATTGTAATGTAAATATCTGATATGCAGGATGTATTTTCTTTCACTTGACCAAAATTGGCACAAATACCCAATATGCCCAAATTTGAATACTGGTGGGTTGGGGGGAGGGGTTGATTTTGTCATTTGGGAGTTGTAATTGCTGAGATTTATAGTTCACCTACAATCAAAGAGCATGCTGAACCTCACCAAAGATAGAAATAGGCTGAACTTCCCACACAGAACCCCCATGACCAACAGAAAATACTGTGTTTTCTGAAGGTCTTCAGCGATCCCTCTGACACCACCTTGTAACTCCCCCTGGGGTCCTGCCCCTCAGGTTGAGAAACACTGCTCTAGGTCTTGACCATAGAGTCATACTGGATGACCTAGAGAGAACTTTTAAATCACATCCATTAACAATCAAATCTGTTAAAGTTAAATATAAGAATGTGGAAGGATGGCTGTATGTGCTTATTTTTGTAAAGATGCAAATTTGAAAATAATTTGCATTATTTCACCGCAGTGAGGAAAACAGAGACCAGATGGTTCTGTGTGTCTGTTCACTCTTTACTGAATACTGATTGGTGATGGGTGTTTTCAAGGTGCCTGCCATTCCAATGCCAATTGTTTCTTTTTTATTTAAACAAGATGGGATTGGATTACTTTCAGGGAGAAGATGGCTTCTAATGGAGGACTCTTTATGACATTTACTAAAATAACTGACTTGTGTCAATTAGATTGAGGATATTTGAGACAAGTTTCCCTCCCACTGAATTCATTTTAGAATGTTTTTGAACTGACAAAATTATGGGAACTGACTAAATCACTGGCTTTTATCTGTTAGTTCCGATTTGAGTACCCCTGAATCAATATAAACGTGGTTTATATTTATGTTAATTTCATAGACCCAGAGTGGGTCTTCCCCAGTTGAAACTAACACCTGGATGTAGCCCTATATTAGTTGTTTCATTATTTACTATAAGAAATAAACATTTCAGAAGTGTAATAAAGAAGATTCAGTCAAGAATAAACATTTACCACTTAATTTATTATTATGTAAGGTATAATTTTACACAGAAGAGATTTAGTAGCAGAATCCAACAATCTGACAACTTTACAGCTCATTCCACTATATTACTTTAATTACATTATTTTTATGTTTTACAGTGCAGCATGAAACAAAAATACAGTTTTTAAACAAAACAGCCAAAATCAACAGAACACTGAACAGTTTCGAAACTGTGAACCCATTCTACGTATCTGACAAAATCAGGATACACTGTTGGCGTGAGCAATTTTCAAAATATTTTCACTCATGCCCAAAATGGGGCAGAATTCTCTGGCTAAAGATAACCTTCTTAACCAAAGAGATGCAGGCTTAGACTTTCAAATGAGAGTTTCTATATATCGAAGTAAGGAAATGTGTCAGCTGATTTTTTATATAAAAAATGATCACAATTTCCTGGCAGAAAAATCAAAACAAGCTTTGTCTGTGAAAAAGTTGTATTTTGCCTTGATTATGCCACACTTTCTGGTAGAAAGTTGGAGTAATAGATATAATAGCATGCCGAGCAGTGCTAGGATAGTGCACTGAGTCCAACACACCATCCTACTGCTGCTCTGTTTATAGAGTGCCTCGGCATAGCACTATATATTTTTTCTCCTTAAAGGTATTTTTAGAACTTCCCAACGGCTATGACAAGTCTATAAGGGAGACTTGTGACTAACACAATGGACTAAGCAAGTCCCATTCTACTTTCTCTGGACTGCTATCATTTGAGCTGACAGTACGTATAATCTTTTTAGAAAATGGAAAAGATGAACCTCAAGTTGAGCCTTGTGCTGCAGTACTACTCAAATATCAAAGCATCGCGGCCAATATTTCCTTCTATTTATTTTGCATTAGGCTTACTTTCATAGAAACAGGATAACCAAGAATGAACTTTTTCAAATTCATTTCCTTCATTTGGTGTACCATAACTGATGCTGTGGTCACTAGTAGCCTATGACCTTCTTGAACCACAAGCCACTGATGCTTCTGCCATCTTTCCTCTGCATCTACCTACTTTCACGTTATGCTATGACCAAATCATTCCCTATGGATTCCTATTATTTTTTTCTGTCAAATGTTTGGGAGAGCTGTTTGAGGTTTATTAGTTTTAGGTTCACATTCCCCCCTGCTATCTAGCTTTCATTGCATGTTATCTATTCTGGTCCTGTGGATAATACAAACAAGGAAGCACATATCCAAAGCAATAGAAAGCTGGCATATAACAAATAACTCAAAAAGGTCAAAAAAGCAAATACACTTTTAATGACATATTATCATTCCAAAGACGCAAACCATTATTGTATTAAAGCAAAGTGAATAATATCTGCACTTGCCTTTGGTTCCAACATGTTAGGCATAGACACTCCTCGGTCCATTCGCATTCCAGGGACATGACCATCTGGGAGGGACTGTATCAGATATAGGTAGACATCAAGCACACAGGTTACATGCACACAGACATACATAAATAAATAGGGTAAAGGCATTCATGGTGAATATGGACATGAATTTACACTTCATTCTTGACCTTTGCAATGGCCAACTATTATTGTTTAAGATTTTAACATCTCATAAATGTATGATATGGTACCAGGGACAACCTGCTTACTTATCATTTCTCCTTATTGATGCCACACAGTTGTGACATTATAATTGTGTTAAGTTCTTCATGTATCCTAACAGAAGCTTTCAAAGTTAAAATTCAGTGGCAAGTTGAGAGAATCTTTCTAGTCACTAGAATTAAGAAAAAAATCTGCTGGAGCAAATCAAAGCTCTGTCCATCCAATCCTTGCTCACATATTGGCTAGCCAACTACCTATAAGGTCAGTAACTAGTTTTCTCCTAGTTCTCCTCAATACCCCGTGCTGACATTTTTGTGATGGGCAGCATTGATCCTATATTGACACAGATCTAGCTTGTCATTTCAGTTCTATCCTTCCTTTTCACTAAGGCCCCTTCTACACTGTCCTTAGATCTCCCGGGACCTGATCCCAGGTTATCTGAATTATATAAATCTCCACTATCTGATAATCTGCCATAAGCAGATGACCTGGGATCAGATACCGGTATATAGGGAAGTGTAGAGCGGGCCTTCGTTGTGTTCCACTTATACTTTATTTCTTACTTTTCTAAAAAAAATCCCATTTAATAAGTAACACAATAAATTTCCATCTAGGCAAATTAGATGGTCCTAAATCCCCAAGCAACCCTCCCCAATGTTCAATATAAAACAAAACCACTTGTCCAAAACTATTAGTGGATTTCAGCTACTTCCAGTTGATTCTGGATTGGAGGGCCTTTTTGGGCAGTCTGCGTGGACCCAGATGGTCCCTGGAGACAAAAAACTGATCTCTGGATTTGCTAAAGTTGTCCACCTGACTGTAAAGTCTTTTGCAGTTAATATGCAGTGAGGATTTTGTCATAATATTCTGTTTATGAAAATGTGATATGATAGGCATAACAAGCATTTAATCACTACATTCTAGGATCAGGGTTAATGGGGACAGGCAGAGAATTCTACACTTTTTCTTGTCCAGTCTACAGAACCTTAAAAGTATATCACAAGGCCATCTTTTTTTCCATGCCCACAACCACATACAAAATCAAGGAATTATATGTGGGAAAGTAGGGAATAACATCTGGAAAAAAGGGTAGGGTGAGAAAAAGGCTTCAGAAAGAGGAAGCTTACGTCTGGACATCCCTTTGGTTGGAAATCTGAGGAATCAGAAGAGACCCCACCAAAGAGAGAACTGCCACAGATGCATGCCAATTTAAGGAAAGCGGGCCAAGCAAGTCATAAAACTGGCTTGCGCAAGGTATTGTCATAGCTGTGAGTTTTCCACAGTGGTACAAACTCACATCATTAACTAGGTATAAAACATACAAATGAGCATGTTCTAAGAAACGCTTCCCTGTAGCAGAAATTGAAACTTGGAGTAAAACAGTGGCCAGGGTGTTGATGGAGCTGTTCAGAGCGTCCACTACTTGAAGGTAGAAAATCTGTACTGTACCTGGAAATCTGAAAAGAAGGTGGGGTGGGATGGGATGAGAAAACACAAATGATCAGGATGTCAAACAATATCAGTTTTTAACTGTGGTACCTTTTTAAATGCTACATTGCAAAAGACACATAACTTGAAAATTTAAATTAATTAGAAGTAAACAATTAATGTAAGAACACATACATCCATGCATGTATTATTTTTACTCAATTGTAGTATGCTAATTTTTAAAATCGTGTCAGAAGCAACTTGAGAAATTGCAAGTCACTTCTGGTGTGAGAGAATTGGCAGTGGCACAATGGGTTAAACCCTTGTACCAGCTGAACTGCTGACCTGAAGGTCGGTAGTTTGATTCCAGGGAGCAGGGTGAGCTCTCGTCTGTCAGCTCCAGCTTTCCACGTGGGAACACGAGAGAAGCCTCCCATAGGATGGTAACACATCCAGGTGTCCCCAGGCAACATCTCTGCAGATGGCCAATTCTCTCACACCAGTAGCGACTTGCAGTATGCTAATGATCCAGATCAAAACAGTTGCCTGGAATAAGAATAAGCATCTGTATAGCTTAGGCCCAAATATGATGTTCAGTAGGAGGATATAAGAACAGCTTAACCTTTTAATCTGACCACAAATATAACTGCAAGAGCACTCTACAAAACCAACTGAAAACCAAAGCAACACAGAGAAGGAAATGATATCTCTTAAGATCTTACCACGAGCAGCACTGCTCACATCTCCATAACTGTTGTATTGACCAAAGTCTGTAGACACTGGCTATAAAAAGAAAAAATCAACAGTTGAATCAACCACATTAGCTTGTCATCTGAAAATGTGGAAATCATTGTGTAAATAACTGATAGAAGCAGCAAGATAGAACAAGATACTGTGGCAGTAAGGGTTTTCTATTGTAGCCTTGGGTGTTTTCTTAAATGTATCTGCTAGAAAGGAAGAGAGATCCCAAAGAGATAAAGAGGGTGCAGTAAAAGCCCAGAATTAGTCTACAGTGAATCGACAGTCTGTAGTCCATACTATTGGGTAAAAATTGTCAACAAATTATCATTATATGTTTACCGTCAGTGTTCTTGATCAAGTTCTTGATCAAAAGCTTGGGCCACCCCTGAGTAGGCAACAAGGAAATATGTTCATCAATTAAACTCTTTCTCATTTGCCATAGACTAAAATTTACAGAAGTATTCAAAACCAGCCATAGCATCATAAAGGCTGTCATTTATTTGACAAAAGAACTTGAAGAGTACTTTATTATTGTTTACAAGTCTTCTGTCAAATTTCTCTAAACAGGGCTGTGGTTGTGTTGTCAAAGGTTTTCGTGGCCGGAATCACTGGGTTTTCCAGGCTGTATGGCCATGTTCCAGAAACATTCTCTCCTGACGTTTTGCTCACATCTATGGCAGGCATCCTCTGAGATTGTGAGGTCTGATAGAAATGATGCAAGTCAGGTTGATATATCTGTGGAATGTCCAGGGTGGGAGAAAGAACTCTCCCACCTTTAGAAGAGTACTGGGAGACCAGTTTCTGGGACTACAGAGAAAGAACTGAGTTGGAAATTTTGGCATGGGGCTCATCAGTATCCGCATCTTAGAGACTTGATGGGAATTGTTCTTTTGGAGTATTTAAGTAGTGTTTCCACTTATCTTTGACCTTTATATTTTATGAATTAACTTCACTAGAACAAACTTGCCACCCATTGAAAAGAAATATTAGAAGTAATAGGCACAAGATACTGTCTGCTCCCCAAAGTTAAGCTGAGTTAGACTTCATTAGTCCTTGGATGGAAGACTACCAATGAATGTCAGGTCCTACAGGCTCTATTTCAGAGGAAGGGACTGACAAAACCACCTCTGAGCATTCCTTGCCTAACAAAATGCTATGCAATTTATGGGCCCTCCATAAGTCAACAGGTGACCCGAAAGCACATGCACACACAGTAGTAGTACTAATACTAATAATAAAAATAATAACAGTAGTAGGAAAACTCCCATATTCTATACAAACATGTCCTCTGCATACACATTCTGCACATTTTCACAGATGAGAAAACCTATCTGCTTACCCTATGAAGTCCATTTCTTCCATAGCCAGGAAGGGAAGAGGTTTTAGAGGCAGCAGCACGGGGAGCTAAATGGAAAGGAAAGAAACAAATCAAGAAACTTTTTAAAATAATTATTATAATAACATAAAAATATAAACCAAAAATCAAAGTCAGAATATATTCAATGCCAGTTAAATATCAAATGAGGTTATCTGTTGAAACTTCAAAGGTTGCATCTAGATTGGTTTGCATTTAAACCCAATCTAGCCATATGTATAGCATTTAATATATTATAAACTTTCTTTAGTTTGGGTATGATACTCTATTTCAACAATTTTACTTTTTAAAGTGTGTAACTTGTTTTTACCGTGTCTACAGGAGATTTCATAAGTTGCAGCAAGTACTGCTAATAACGCTAGACATGCATGGCATAGCAGAAACTCCTGGACGCATTATTTAAAAGGGACTCTTCCAAAAAGCCACTATTATGATCTCTACCATTAACCTGAATAAGGCACAAAAGTAAAATAAAATTTTAAAAAACCCATGTGACTTGACATGGTGAGATTTGAACAGATCATTCTCTGTACTCACACACAAGGTAATTAACTCTTATCCAAAATGTTTGGAAGCAGAAGTGTTTGGCTTCTGGATTTTTCAATTTTAGAATATTTGCATTTACATCATGAGATATCTTGGAAACAAGATAGTCTAAACACAACATTAATTTATGTTTAATCTACACCATATACAGATATACACAATGATATATGATGTTATACACAATGGTTTACATAATTCTGAGCATGAAAAAAAGAAAGCAAACATGTCACCATCTTAGTGACTCATGTGGATGATTTTGGATTTTGGAGCATTTTTGATTTCCAGCAAAGGGATACTCAACTTGTATACAGTATTTATGAGGCTCCTGCTTGCAAGCAATTATGTGATGTGTTTATTGGTGGGATCGAAACCTACAGTGAATTCTCTTTAATTTTCTATAGTTTGACATTCTGTTACCACTATTGCTATAAGCTCAATGTGTGCAGAGGCATCTGTATATACAGCCCAAAATACAGCTTAAGATTTTGGACAGTGCACCAAGGACATGCATTCTAATTATATGGGGACACACACACACATACACAGAGCCCCTGTTATAAATAAACAGTAATTATAACTCTGTTTCTTCTCTGGAATGCATTGTGGTTTGCCCAAAAAACCTGCGTGGTAAACCAGTAATTAATTTGCTGTGATCCAGCACTTTGGAATGTGATGCCCTGCTCCCTGAGGTTGATTTCCTCTCCCAATGTGGGAAAGGCTAAAAGGCTATGAGAAACATAAATATCAACAAGGTGTATGCCGCTTTTTAATCACAATTTCATGACCTAGCCTGCTGGATTTTCAGAAACACAAATATTGCTCTGACCTAACAGTGAAACCCGGGTTTTTAAGAAAAGCCTTCTGGGCAAATTGTTTTATCCAGGATGCACATGTTTTATGATTCAAGATTTGAACTGGTTTTAAATTGTCTATTTTTATACTGAGAAACCATCTAATGTATTTTTAGCTCATTTAAACTTTTGTAATTATTTATTGTTTTAAACGGATTACGATGTAAGGCATCTTGAGATCATTGGGTGGGGAGCAGGATATAAAAATTTAATAAATGAATAAATCCACATGTTATATGTAACCTAATATATATGTGAGTAATAATATCATAATTAAGTTCCTGATAAAATGAGCTGCTCAGTATTTTTTAATAATTGAAAACTTTTAATTTTTTTTTAAAAAAATCTTGATACACTCTACTTTGTAAAATGTACAGTTCAACCTCTGTATCCACAGGGGATACATTCCTGAAATTATTGTGGAAACAGAAAACCATGGGTAACAGTAAACCTATTGAAATGAATACAGTTGGCCTTGAGGAACTAGAACATTCTTAGAAAGATATCCTTTATAGCAGTGGTTCTCAACCTGTGGGTCCTCAGGTGTTTTGGCCTAAAACTCTCAGAAACCCCAGCCAGTTTACCAGCTGTTAGGATTTCTGGGAGTTGAAGACCAAAATATCTGGGGACCCACAGGTTGAGAATCACTGCGCTATAGGAATTTCTTGTATTCTACTTCAGAGACATGCTAGGCAGTAGCTATCTGGGTGCCAGAACTCTTTTATTTTCTCTGTAAATTAAACCAGCTAGTGTTGTCTGAAGAACTGCATATTTCAGTTTAGTATTTGTTGTTGTTTTTTTCTTCCCTGCCTTTCTTCTATCTCTAACCAACCCCTCTTTTTCGATTATCCCTAAGTTTATTTCTGAATTCTCAAAGGTTGCCCATGTCAGGTTTGCGAGGGTAGGAAAATAAAACTGTTTCAGAATGGGAGAGTAACTGACAATTTGGCTGTAACCAAAAAGTCGGGTTAGCATGTGGGGTGGCCCCAATTATGGTGGATTATTTCTCCATGCCTTGCTGAACATGACTTGACAACCCAGAAAATTGAAACTATGAGTTCGATTCTATGGCTACAGGGATCGTATTGTAGTTTGAGCCATTCATCAGATTCGGCACTCTTTCTGAACTTTATTTTAATTTGTTTACATTCTTTTATTTTAGATAATAAGACAAAATTGTGTAAAAAAGAAGAATTGATCATATAATTAGTTATAAATAACATCATTGCAATAAACTTCTCTCATGAGACATAAATCATAAGATGTTATACATGATGGGTTGATTATCCAAATGATAGAAATATGCTCAATAGAAATTCAGGATCCCTCTCATGAATTCATTGTGCAATACAATACAGTGTTGAAACATGCAGGCAATAAAATCATCTTATACATGTTTTTGAATAAATCCCAATGAGGCCACTGAAAATATCTCCCAGGTATAAAGCAGTCCTCATTTATTTTCACAGATATCCCAAATATGCTTTCAAACATTGTTGCTTACATGAATTAACTGAAGATTCATAACGGCTACCAGATAGTGATGACCTTTCTTTTTCCATCTCTTCTTTTAATATCAACTGCCCCAGACCTGAGTTGAGCTGTATATGAGAAATGAAAATAGTATGTTAGATAGAGAAATTAAATTGAGTTGTGTTCATGTTGGCACAGTTGGATGGTTTACATCAAAATTATTGTCACCTTCATCAGCTGTTCCTCTTGTAGCTGCCGACGCCTCTGGAGTTCCTCAAGGTCTTCATCTCTACCAGTAGATCTGCGTCGCATGTCAGAACCTGCTTCCACAAAACCACAGCACAAAGAAAGCTTCTTGCACAAATGCACATAGGAACTTGCATCTAACACCCATGTTTTCTTAGATTTTCTTATTATGAAACATATACACATTTTAACAATTTTGTTTCAAAATAATGATGATATAATCACCTCTAGTTTGTAGCTCAACTTTTCCAATTTCCAAATTTTTGCTACTTTCACTTGAACTTTAAAAAAGCTTTCCAAGGTCCTGAACATTACTCTCAAAATGGATCCAGGACCTTGGATAACTCCTTTAAAAGCTGGAGCATATTCACTACACCATTGACACGAGATCCTACAGTGTCCCTTCCCTGAATGCCATAAATGCTATGGGCAAAAACTGGTGTTTCTGGTTTACTTAGCCAGAGTGGCCATGTAACAAATGTGGGAGGTCAAATATCTCAAAAATAGCTTGTTGGTAAGTCTTCTTACCACAGCTGCCCTTCTTTCCATTGTTAACATGCATACAGCATAAATTTTTGATTCTGTATTTATAAAACCGAGGGGAAATCTGTAGAAGATGAAATTTAGCTTGTTGATTGTCTAAATAATATATTTGCATGGATGAGTTATCTTTTACACAACTGAAAAGTGAATCTAGATTCTAGAGCCTGTATGTTGAATCTAGGAATGTACTTCAATAAGGCATTCTGGAAGTGGTGAACTTTTTCATATTGTTGTGTAAGAATGAGCAGAAGACTGCACAATGTGACCATAGCACAAGGAAACTTGAGAATTTTACATTTTATTAAAGATATTTCACAATGATTTGCAATAATTGGAATATACTTTGGGAATTTAGTTCCCTTTTTTTCACATAAGGGCATGTGGTCAGTGGGGAAAAAACAGCTTTCTGTTCGAGGAAATGACCTTCCCTTACAGAAAAGCTCCTTTGGATCCAAGTCCATTTAAATTAATTAAATATAATGAAGAAGTAATGGGACAGGTGGGCACACAGATGAACTATTTTAGTATAATCTGGGGATCTGAGTTTTGAACAACCCCATATTCAAGGCAAAGTATATTAGCAACAGAAAGCTGGGATATTCATAACACCAGTACTAGAAGTACATCTTTCTCATTTCAGTTTCTAGATCACTAAGCAGAAGCAGACAATATATCCTTGAAAGAAATATGAAAGTATTTCAACAACCAAGTCCCTAAACTGATATAGAGGACTAAGCTATTGTTGGCTTTTGGGAACATATTTAACTCATGGTCATGTCACTACATCCCAGTTTCAGGCTGCAGTCCTATCCATGCACATCAGGAGCAGCATTTGCAAAATTATTCTTAAGAAGAACAACATGTCATGAGTACCACAATATTATCCTACAACTGTTCAGTTACCAATAGTTTCAGCATGTTTTTATAATAATCCTTTTTAAAAGTAACTTTCTAACATCTGCCTGACAGGAATTACCACTGAATGCAAATGAAATTATAAATATTATTGGGTTAAATAATGTTTCTCATCTGTATAAACTGGATATACATTAGGATGGAACTATAGATATATGGAGCCGTAAGTACTTCTACATATTATGTTTAGTGGACTTTGACCTCCCTCCAAATCTTCACAATGCAAATAGCAGGCAGGTGCAGGTGCTGAACTCTTCTCTACTCAATGATTTTTCTCCTCCAGCTCTTTACTTCTTGATCTGCTTTCCAGCACACATTATTTGTGTTCCCAAAAACATGAGTTTTCAGGACAAAATGAGCAACAGGATTCATACCTGATAATAATTTTCCTTATATACACATATAAGGAACATTATTTTTCATATTGTCCTATGAAAACTGCTCCTATGACCTTCTGGATTTTGAATCTCCTGTAGACACTACTAAAAACACCCCTTGGACTCTGAATCAAATATCTCTCCAGGTCCTAAGTAATCTCGCAGACAAAGATGATATGACACATAAACTGAGCTTAAAACAAGATTTGAAAAATAATGAAAAACAGCATGAATGGTAAAATAAACATCTTAAGGCACAAAGTCATGTATACTTAAATTTTACATTTCACTTGCTTTACACTTCATTTAAAAACCTTTTGTGCTATCGGTTGCCCAACAAGAATCCCAACTATATGGTTGTCAAGATATGAAGATGACAACATGGTCATCTGCAAGATTTTCCCATTCCACATAAGGAACTGGATTGGTTTAGCAAATGAATCTTACTTCCATTGATAATGGTATGGCCTCATTTGCTGGTTCCGGTGACAGTGGGTGAACTTAGAGGAGAAGCAGGGCATAAGGGCTGTGTGTCAGACACAATTATGTTCCATGTAATAACCACTGCTGAAAGAAGTGGGGAGGGCAATGCATAGAGAGGTATTCTCTCAGGTAAAGAAACAACAACTTTTTATTCGCTCTTTTTTCACATTTACAGGAGTCCTGTGTGGAGGGTTGATGGTACTATTAAGTATGTATTTAGTGTCGCACCCATATAACCTTTAAGTGCAAACATGTTCAACATCTAGCATTAAAATCACTCTAGACTTATTTATAGGCAGCAGGAAGCAGTTTTTTGGTTTTGCCCACACCACGTATTCCATACCTACAGCCGCAAGTGAGGGAGGACCTGGCCAGTACTCTGTTTCAATCTTTGGGATTTCGTTGGGTGCTGGTGCATGGGCTGCTGGGAACTTGGAGGACTTGATGATCTCATCAGAAGGCTTGTTCAGGGCTGCCAGAGCAGCTGCATCTAGATGGCAATCAGGGGAACTTAAACTACCAAATCAAATGGCTATATCAGTCTACATCAATACTATATTTATTTTCTATTAGTTTTTCATGTCCTCAACTAGCAACAGATGAAACTCACCTCTTAAAACCTTCAGGACAAAATTTAAGTTCCAGCATTGGCTTCAAATCCTGAGTTTCATTAGAGCTAAGGTTCTCAGGTGCATACAAATGTATCATTACATTAGGAGTCATATATAGACTGGTGCCAAGTCTCCCTTTTCTTCTTAGTGCAAATGACCTACATGCAGTAATTCAAACACTGACTGAGTTCTGCCAATCTTTCAACTACTGTGTGAGTTTTAGTCATTTAAACAATGGCATACATTTGGAAAACTCTGGGTTTAATTGCAAAAATAATTTCAGATAACTGCAAAAGGTATCTTCTGGTCAGAGAGGAAGGGGGAATGATAGCAAGAGGGGGAAAAGATACTGGGAGGCATAAAAGGGTGACTGAGAGTTAAGCTTCATCCTGGCACTGGATTATCCCCAATGGGATGTGATAATTGGCAGGAAAAAAACCCCTCATCTCAGTTTTAAATGCTAATTAGTTGCTTTATTTCTAATGGTTATTAAAAAATGTTATAAATAATTTCTAAAATGCTTCAAGCATAACAGTGGATGCAGGGGAAGGACATTTATGCAAACACGACAAAGTCATTTGATTTATCTGTGATTCAAACAATGCTAGGTCTGTATGCACCTTGGCTGGAAAGAGAACATGTTAGTTGAATAGCAGAAATATGCTATGGCAGTTTCTAAAGAAGTTTTTAGAGATGTACCCTTGTTAGTTTTTTATTGCATAAAAAGAAGTTAGTGGGGAGGGGAACAAATAAAATATTGGGTTACTGTGAGTTTTCTGGGCTGTATGGCCATGTTCCAGAAGCATTCTCTCCTGATGTTTTGTCCACATCTATGGCAGGCATCTCCAGATGTTGACCACCTCTGAGGATGCCTGCCATAGACGTGGGTGAAACATCAGGAGAGAATGCTTCTGGAACATGGCCATGCAACCTGGAAAACTCATAACAACCCAGTGATTCTGGCCATGAAAGCCTTTGACAACACAAATATTCTACTATGCTCCTGTTTCCCATGCTCTCCCTTCCTCTTCATAATGTTTTTACTAAGAGTCTTTAAGTAAAAGAGGGCCAGGAAGGAGGGAGGGTTCACTGATGTGCTACAAAATACAAGAAGTCAAGTAGACTTCTTTAATGTTCCATTGAATTGAGTCCAAATCCATGACAGTCTAGCAAAATGCCTGCAATGGAATTTGCACGATATTAATCTTTTGCTGTGCAATCTTATTTCTCAATCAAATTCATTAAATATTATTTTCAGCAGTGCAAATCAGCTGGGTTAACTAGAGGATCCTTAACTTCATTTTATTTTGGCTAAAAGAATTCACTAATGTCCTTAAAATTTACTTCTGCACCTGAATTTATGTAAGCCTGGTTATATCTCTATTTTCTATTTGTAAATTCCACTTTAATTATACTTTAAAAATTAAGTCTTTGAAATCCACTGGCTGCATTGAACATAAATATTATTATAAGAGGCTGTGTGGTGTAGGCTCCTTCTTTGGAGGCTTTTAAACAGAGGCTGGGTGGCCATCTGTTGGGGGTGCTTTGAATGTGATTTTCCTGCTTCTTGGCAGGAGGTTGGACTGGATGACCCACAAGGTCTCTTCCAACTCTATGATTCTATAACTCTAAGATTAAAAGGAAGTTTGCGAGCTATTTCCCCCCAACTTTTATGTTACTCTTGAGTGGCTAGCTGGAAGATGGGCTTATACAGTTTATGTTTGCCAATTATACCCATCGCCATTCCTCTTCCATAGTGCTATTTCCCTCTCATGTAAGCAATATCTGATACCACAAGTGGTATTGACTCAGTAAGCCTGCAGAAGACACAATAATGTTTAATCTGATATCTGGGAGTGCCTCTACACTGCAGAATTGATGTGCCACTTAATGCTACACTGTAGAATTTGACACCCCTTGAACTGCTATAGCTCAATACTATGGAATCTTAGGAGCTGTAGCTTAGTAAGAACTATCAGGGGCTGCGATGGTGCAGTGGGTTACACCACTGAGCTGCTGAACTTGCTGACTGGAAGGTTGGCGGTTCAAATCTGTGGGACGGGGTGAGCTTCCACTGTTAGCCCCAGCTTTTGCCAACCTAGCAGTTCAAAAACATACAAATGTGAGTACAGCAATAGGTACTGTCTTGGTGGGAAGGTAAACAGCACTCCATACAGTCATGCCAGCCACATGACCTAGGAGGTGTCTATGGACAACGCAGGCCCTTCAGTTTAGAAATGGAGATGAGCACCACTCATCATGTTTATGTATGCTGGAATTCACCCTGAGTCCCCTTAGGGAGATAGGGAAGAATACAAATAAATAAATAAATAATAATAATAATATTAATAATAATAATAATAATTATTATTATTATTTGAAACACAACAAGATGAGTCCGCAGCAAACAAGATCACTCTGCTGGCTGTTGTATTGGATCACACATCAGACACTTCCCAAGTGTCTAGGACTGTGTGATGCATTGCCGAATAATGCATGCAGATCCCAGTAGGGTAGCCTTTTGCAGCTGGAAGATGGTAATCTTGTCAGTGCCAATTGTGTTTAAGTGCAGGCCAAGGTCTTTAGGCACTGCACCCAGTGTGCCGATCACCACTGGGACCATCTTTACTCATTTGTGCCAAAGTCTTTGCAGTTCGATCTTTAAATCCTCATATTGTGTATGCTTTTCCAGTTGTTTTTCTTCAATCCTGCTGTCAACTGGGATTGCAACATCGACAATCCACATTCTGATTATCATCATCATCATCATCATTTGCCACAGAAGGCCAAAGACTTTGTAAAACTACAGCTCCCATAATTCCACAGCACTGGAATCACACAGTTAAAGTGATGTCGAATTGCACTAATTCTACAGTGTAGATGCACCATGAGAGAGGAAAGCCTTGCATTTTCCCAGCTACTGACTGAGGATAACGTATTTCGAGAGAAAGCAAATGTGAAACAAATGTGCATGTATTGACAGTGTGGGAAAGTCTCTATGCTCTTGTGAAACTGTGGTAGCTATTGTTTAAAAGGAAGGCAACGGACTAGAAACGTTCCCTACAAAGTGTCGTCTGGCTGCTCCCTTTCATTCCCAAAGGAATACAGGAGACGCTCCTGACAAACAGTGAAGCTTCAGTGGGAAAAGAGGGGCTACCTTGGCTGATTGCTCAGAGGACTACAAAAGCTTGGTTTCAAACAATACTTACGTATTAGAATGGATGAAGTCAGTGGGAAAACATTCACATGTTAATGGGAGGTGAGTAGACACAATAAAAACCATAAAGAAATAAAAATAAGGTTAAGGGTAAAAAATTAAATGTTATGAGTAAAAAAGAATTAAATAAAAATTATAAAACATTGTACGACAGTCACAAAGTCTTAAGTGCACTCCCCTCACTGTACAATATTCTCTCAAATATTTGATTCAGTATTGTTGTTTCAACTCCACTCTTCAACAATTACTTACTGAAAAATTATAATTGCGATTTCTATATCTATATACCTTTGCTGTTATAAATAAGAGGCTTCCCCTGATTATGAACAATCCACGATCAATGCTTAATTTCAAAAAATTAGAACTGATGGAGATTAAGCCTCCTACAAAGAAATGCATTCCAGCTTGAAGTTCTCACACTGGGCATTCAGGAATTATGGTTACTCAGCAGGGAGAGAAAGGCACTCGACACCCACACACAAAATACACTCCCTGTGGCTTTCAGACATTAAAGTGCTTTGTTGTAGCACAGAAAGCAGATTCTTATCAGTTTTACATTAGTTCAACCAAGCACGGTAAGACAAAGTGGAAATGAATAACAGCCTGAATGGAGTGAATCAGGATTGTTGCTGGATTGTGTCTTTTTAGTTTTCTTAGTGACTAAGTCACTATTAGATGCTTTTCCCCATCACTTCCTGTACCAATGAAGTGGATATTGTATATGCAGACAGGTGGCGATAGTAAAACACATTAAAGAAGAAGCAAAAATATAATGCATACTAGAAAAACATGTTTCTTTTAAAAAATAATAATGTTCTTCCAGACTGGCAGGGTCATAAACACAGTCATTGCCCTAACTCTGGATGTGGAAATAGAGATTAGCTTACATCTGTGAACTCCCAGCTGACCTAAAGTGGGATTAGTCATAATTCAAATAGAGTAGGAATTTGACTCACAGGATACAGGTATAACTCAGTTAACAAAGTTCTGATGAAGAACCCCCTTTTAACAATGTGTTTTTATGATTGCCCAGCTCCCTTTTTCCCCTGATCCTGTCTATCTTGAAGTTTAGGAGCATTGGCCTGTTGTGAAGAAGGAATAGAGACGCAGAAATTCTCAGTGTGAGGCTGCCACAGCATGTCTACAATAAATAATGCAATGAAGATTAAGGTGACCTAAAGTGGGATTTTACTCTGGCCTGGCATTTCTCAACCAGGGGGTCAGGAACTCTGGGGAGGAGGAATCGCCAAAGACCATCAGAAAACACAGTATTTTCTGTTGGTCATGGGGGTTCTGTGTGGGAGGTTTGGTGCAATTCTATAATTGGTGGAGTTCAAGGAGCTCTTTGATTGTAGGTGAACTATAAATCCCAACAACTACAACTCTCAAAGGTCTATTTCTCCCAAACTCCACCAGTGTTCACATTTAGGCATATTGAGTATTCGTGCCATGTTTGGTCCAGATCCATCATTGTTTGAGTCCACAGTGCTCTCTGGATGTAGGTGAACTACAACTCCAAAACACAAGGTCAATTCCCACCAAAGTCTTTCTCTTGGTCATGGGAGTTATGTGTGCCAAGTTTGATACCATTCCATCATTAGTGGAGTTCAGAATGCTCTTTCATGAAATGAAAGTGGAGCTATAAATCTCAGCAACTACAACTCCCAAATGACAAATTTGGGAGTATCAGGTATCTGTGCCAAATTTGGTCCCGTACATGAAAATACATCCTGCATATCAGATATTTCTATTACGATTCATATCAGTAGCAAAATGGCAGTTATGAAGTAGCAATGAAAATAGTTTTATGGCTTGAGGTCACCACAACATGAGGAACTGTATTAAGGGGTTGCAGCACTAGGAAGGTTGAGAACCATTGCTCTAGCCAAAACTACTGTGTGTCTGTTGGCTTTTAAAAGCAGCTCTTTCCACAATCACTAACTGAACATATAGGTGCAAACACTCACACAAACCCATCCCCTCAGTATTATTTTAAGAAATTTGGCCACTAAAACATGAATAATAAGAAAAGTATAGCAACCCATCCCTGTTCTTTCCAGGTTATTTCATCCTTTGGTATCAAAGTTGCTGTTAAAGGTGTAATGCCTAGGGATATATTTCCTTTGTTAACTGAGGTATATCTGTACTTTTCATAAAGTGCTTTCTCTTTTACAAGTTCCTAGGATGGAATCTTTTACACTGTGGAGGAGTAGCTGAGATCATAACGTTTAAAGAATGAGGCAAAGGAACTGGCGTTGAAGACTACTACTCAGGATCACATCATTCAACCAGAGGGGCCACAGTGGCACAATGTGTTAAATTCTTGTACCACTGAACTGCTGACTGGAAGGTCGGCAGTTCAAATCCACGAGAGGGGGTGAGCTCTGGTCAAGCCCTAGCTCCTGTCAACTTAGCTGTTTGAAAACATGTAAATGTGAGTAGATAAATAGGTACCGCTTCTGCGGGAAAAGGCAAAGATGCTCCAAGCAATCTTGCCAGCCACATCTCGACTTGAAAATGGAGAAAAGCACCTCCCCGGAGCTAGAGATGAGCACCACTTCCAGAAAGCTGGAAATGAAATGAAGCCTTGCCTTTGTTTGTATGTCTCATTGTATTTGACTGTAAAGGCACTTGTTTTTTTGTGTCAGGAGCAACTTGGGAAACTGCAAGTTGCTTCTGGTGTGAGAGAATTGACTGCTCAGCTGTTTTCCCATCCTGTGGGAGGCTTCTCACATGTTCCCGCATGGGAAGCTGGAGCTGACAGATGGGAGCTCACTCCACTCCATGGATTCGAACTGCCAACCTTTTGGTCAGCAGTCCTGCCAGCACAAGAGTTTAACCCATTACACCATCAGGGGCTCCTTGTAAAGGCATTGAATGTTTGCCGATGTAAAATGTGGTAATCCATTCTGAATCCCCTAGGGTACTGGTTCCCAACCTGTGGGTCCCCAGATGTTTTGGCCTTCAACTCCCAGAAATCCTAACAGTTGGTAAACTGGCTGGGATTTCTGGGAGTTGTAGGCCAAAACACCCGAGGACTCACAGGTTGAGAACCACTGCCCTAGGGGAGAAGGACAGAATATGAATAAACTCTCTAAATCAGCGAAAGAGTCAAGAAGATGTTTCCTTAAGAATGGGAATGAGTAACAGCAGTTCTTTTCAGAACCTGCAATATGTCAGTTCAACTTGGTGGTTCCCAACCAAAGTGATTGGGTTATAAGGCAAGCTCTCTGCTTCAATTCAGCCAACATGATCCACAGAAACAATAAGCTCAAAATCCTTAGGATATTGGTTTCAAGGTACAATCCATTTAGGTGATCCCGATTATATTAGTTTCAAGGTATAATGGATCTAGTTAATCCTAATTATATTGGTTTCAAGGTCTAATCCATTCAGATGGATACCCATCTACATTGCCCACAGCTTGACCTCATTGCACTAGAGAATGAATCCACTTTAAATCCAGTTGCTGTCTTCTGCAGAATTCTGGGGTTTGTAGTTTAGGGCAGAGCCTTTCAACAGCCTCACTGAACTACAAACCCCAGAATTATGCAGGAGGCAGTAACCAGATTTAAAGCGGACTTATTCTCTAGTGTGATGAAGTAGTAGAAACACATCTGAATGCACATTCCAGCATCTCTAATGAAGAGGATAATCTGGATATTATGCTTATGTCCATGGCTTCTGGTACAGCAAGTGATATATCCAGGGAAAAGCCTTTATACTGTATGGATCACTGGGATTGAATAGGTATGAAGAAGCAGCGTAGGAGAAGAGTGTGTGGATGAAACAAGAACATGTGCTTTTAATCAAAACTGTTCTCACAAAACGGAGAAGTATTTTTTGAATGATATCTAGGTACCTTGTTTAAGAAATGACCCTTTTGGCCTCACAGTTTCACTACTGATCAAGAATGGACTATTTCTTATGAGTATATGAACCTGTTATAGCCTTCAACTTTAAAAAACAAAACAAAAGGGAAACTTTGAATGGAGGCCTGTTACTTTCTTTAAAAATTCCACCATTCTGTATTGACTTGAAAATCTAACAGAGGCAGTTTAAGGACTGAAACAAAGGCCTTAAAAACATGCCCTGCTGACAAGCAAGGCTTCATGTAAAAATGATAAGACCTCCACACTTCACAAGTCTTGCAGAAGAATTCCATGCCTTACAGTCAAAGCATTAAGGCATATTTTGTGTATTTTCTTTTTTTCAAAAATGCGCAACTTGCATTAAAATATTTAAATTAAAAGACAGTAACTTCAAAAAGTAGGCAATAACCAACAAATGTTAGAAATTTTTAGCACAATTGTACCATGCAACTATTAAATATATTAGATTGTCCCTTTTTGAAGACAGAAAGAATAAGGTTTACCATGCTGTTTGTAGATAGGTGGTTTTCTATAAATATTCGTGCCTTGATCTGTAAAAATAAAAAAAGACAGAGACTTATAAATATTTGGACATTTTCAATTACTTTTGGGGAAGGGGAAGAAGCCAAACATTAAATTAACAAATGTTCCAAACCAAGGACTTGGCATATCAATCCAGAACGCTAACACTTGTATCACACAAAAAAGGGTAACTATGTGATGGAAACAAGACACAGAAAACAGATGGATAAAACACCACAGACAGATGACATAAAATCTTAGCATGTATCATTGGCAACATGGTGATGCAGCTAAGAAATGAGCTATTTCCATTTAAAATTTTAGTAAACCATTAGTGGGGGAAACACTTTTGTGGAAATGCAAGAGAGGAGATTAGGCAGAATTGGAGGCAGGAGCTATCTAGTGGGAAAAACAACCTTTCAATGGCAACAGGGGAATTGGACAAGAGAAGCTCAATTTTTCTTGTAACTACAGCCATCCCACATAGCAATGAGGTATATTTACATTAAAGGCTTCAGAACTCACTTCTTTTTAATCTGCCATGTTGGAGCATAGCCAGTTTTTCCAAGGTTGTGGTTTTTATCATGTCAATTGATTTGGTGCTAATTCTGACACCAACAAGAGCATGAAATGTTATGAAGCATTGTATAGCACATGATTGTTTCCAAAGCCCCAAAGCTGTAGCATAATATTGCTTTAGTCATGTCTTAAAGAGGATCAACTTCCTTCTAAAAATGTGTCTTGCTATGAAAGAAAGGTTCCTCTAAAGAGAAATAAAAGTCATCAAGAATTAATGTGACAACACAAATTGTCAGAGGATACAAAACTGAAGTGCTATAAAAATAAAACCTAACAACACCATTACCAATCGCTTGGTTTTAAATACTTCCTCATCTAGCTTAACCCAGTGATCAGAGGACAATGGGAATACTATAGAATCAATTTAATGGCCCAATCCTATACACGTTTGGTATACTTAGAAGTAAGTGCCACTGTATTCGGTGTGGCGTTTAGTTCTATGTGAGAGTCTAAGAACGGCAGTCTCAGAATACAGAGTGCCTATTTGTATTTATTGTAGAGTAGGAAATATAAGCAATATTTATAAAACTTCTTGTGCTTGATAATTCAAGATGCTTCATAAAAAAAGTAAACCTCTGCATGATTTTTCCTTCTCTGCTTTACAACAAAAAGGCAAGCTCTTTTTCTCTTTCTTTCACTGTATTTGCAAAATATAGTGATCTCTTTCATTTACTGCAAAACTTGATGTTATATACAGTAAACTGCCTGGTATTCATGTTTTCCACCAATAAATAAAAGTAATGTGCATTTAAGCCATTGTTTTAGTTGGGAGTAGGAATCAGGGCCTTTAGCCTTAGCCAAATTTAGAAAAAGTGTGTCTGGATTACTACCAGGAGTACAAAAAAGAGCATGCTAAGCATACTATATACACAACTTAACCTGGTGAAGTTCTACTTAGGGGAGGTCCAAAATACCCATTAGCTACTTGCAAGTGTATAGTAGTATAAGAGAACAACCCAAATGTGGTCTATGGCTCTCTTTTTCCCTGAGATTCCCCTGAATCCACACCCCTCCATTTAGGTCATACACCCTTTAGCTGTCCTGCCAGCAGTGTCTAAGGAAAGTGGATCTTATGAGGTGGTAGGAAAGGTCGAGAGTGACTCTGATGGGTAAAAATATACGTAAGCTTCTTTTGCAAGGCCTTTTCTGAGAGAGTCTTGTTGTGTAGCTTTTATTAAAGTAAAGCCACCTCGAACACTGTACTCCAAACAATGAATCTACCAAGTTATTCTGTATGCTGCCTCTGCCTCTTGGGTAAAGATGGGTGAAAGAAAAAGAGAGATTTTCATCAGAGGGGACGACAGGCAAGTGCATCCACATGTACACATTTCTAATGCTTGCCTGCTAGCCTGCCTCTGGTGTCAGTTTGGATGCGGATATATTCCTCTCTTTCACTAGACTCACTAGTCAGAATAGGGGAGAAAGACCAGGACAATGCTGTTGATGGGCAGGTATTGAAATTATTAGTATTGATGTGTGCACAGGTGAAAGGATATATGCACTCATGTGGTCTACCAACTGGGCTTCTGGTTCTGCTAACTAGTGGATTATGGGCAGACAAATGTTAATCATTCCTCAGTGTATGAAAATTAAGTAGATAAAGTTTGTGCTGATGAAAATATGTAAGACTTTGAACATCTTCACACATTGGTCTATGGAGCACCAATGCGGCTAACCGAGGAACATTCTCCAAGCAATAGTATTGCAATCAGAAATGCACATTTATTGTGCCAGAAGGACAATATAATGGCGAAGTGCTTCACAGTGGAGGTCTGAGGATATTTACTCAGCACTCCTACTAAATTCAATGAGACTTACTTTTGAGTAATGTATGTGCAATCTGAAGCTTGTAATCGTGCTGTGACTAATACATGAAAAGTCTACGGTGTAGCATTCATGAGAACTTGACCATGTACTATGCTTTCTGCAACTACAGCGTATGCCTGTCTTCCTATTTCTCTAAGAGAAGAAAATAATAGTTTTGTGCCTTAAAAATCTCTCCACAGCCAATGTTTCCTAATTCTTCTCTAAAAAAAAAAATGAACCATCAAGCCTTGCATTTCAAAGCAGTTTATGGTGTGCTCTAAGACAAAACTAAAAGCGTGAAATAATGGAGACAAGACATTACGAAGGCTACGGTCTACACTATGACAGGACACCAAGACACAGAGTGCCAGCTCCTACCTGGAACATGGAAATGTTTAGGGGTCTGAGCGTAAGTTGGTGTTAGAGGGCGGCTGTCGGGCCGGTAAGGGGCAGGGGAGTTCCGACCGCTGGACGGCTCATTGCCTCCAATGAGGAGAATGCAAAACAAACAACAAAACAACAAAACAAAAAGAGCAGTAAAAAAGCAGGCATAATTTCCAACCCAATGAGAAAACGGTGGAAAGTAAAAACAGGGGGGAAAGAAAATATATAGTTGACAGTCAAGAACTATGGCTAGCATTGGAAAGCATATTAGGAGGTACATTCACCTTCAGTTGGAATCAGGCAGTTTGCATTCTCTCATTCGTTCATTCCAAAAACATGCATAAAGGAACAATGTACATTTGAATTAAATGGGCAAGCCGTGAAAAGGAATGGGAAATTACATGGTAATGATTCAATATCAGCTGGGTTTAAAACTTTCAGAAAAAGAAACACAAGTTTTGGCAAAGTCATTTCCAAGCAATCCCAGATCAAACTGAGTGATTTCTACATTAAACACACTTAGAAGAATCTCAGAGAATTCAAATGATTATATATACAAGAGAAGGAAAGACAAAGCACCTTTGAGTTATTCTGGTTAATGTCTACTATCGTTATCTTTCTCTACTTGTTCAAACCAGCATCACTCCCTTCTTTCTCAATGAACATCTGTCTGTCTGTCTGTCTGTCTGTCTCTCTCTCTCTCTCTCTCTCTATCTATCTATCTATCTGTTCTAAAATCTCCATTAAATTACAAAAAAGTAGGCCTAGATCAAAATATTTTGTAATATGAACTACAACAGCAAACAGCTTTCCATCCCTTTGAATAATGCTGGTTTACATCCAACCCTTTTTGAGATTTGAAGAAATGCTCCAACGAAGAAGAAAAAATAAAGCAGTGATAAATTACATCAGTAACAATTTCCTTCCCTTTTATGAATATCCCATAAATAATAGCATTATCCTGTATTATCCTTAACTGAACAAAATAAGAACTACATATGTGTATGTCTAGGTTATGTTTGAGGCGAAAATGATGGATTTTGATATGACCTGTAAATAAACTGAAACTCATTCCAGGGAGACAGGAAACACCAATGCCTCCCCAATGGACAACTGCCCTGTCCACTATTGCCATTTTCCCCAAAACTCCAGAAAAAGTGCCACAATGGAAAGAGTAGGTGGAATTGTTGCTTTTTTAGGTTCTCCAAAGATAGATTATGATTATGATGATGATTATGTTTATTTATACCTCGCTTTTTATCTCCACAAGGAGACTCAAAGCAGCCAAGCTCTTGTCTTTCACTACTTTACTCTGAGAAGGAAATATTTTATTTTTTGATAAGGGCTAAGGTATGTAAGCACATGGACCCATAAATAAGTTAGTCCAGGTTTCTTATGTTAATAATTTTACTAAAATTCCTAGACCTATACATGATGAAGTACTCAGAAAAGAAACCGTTTTCCTGCTACAACAACTACTTAATCAATACTAGTGTAACAACTTCTGGTTTTCGGCCGCAGAGGGTCAAATGAAGGGTTGAAGTCTATTAAAGTCATATTTAGATGCAGGACCTTTCAAAACTGCCAATGTAAAAGGGCTCCAGAATTCATTCTCAGCATATGGGGATCACTACAAAATATAAGCACTTCTGTTGAGAATTCCACATGTTAAAAATGTCCTTTGTTTGGGCATATATATAACCTGTATTAAATCTATTCAACCTTCTCAAATAAAAACAAAAATGTCAAGGAAGCTTTTGCACACTTTAGCACATTTTTTTAATTTATTTCACTTTCCCCCTATATATTTATAACCCTCTCTTTAAGCCAATGCACTCTTGAAACAGCTAATAAAGCAAGAGGATTAAAAATTGCCAACTGATACCACAAAAGTAGTAATTATAAATATAGAAGAATATGAATAGATATTTAAGTTTGAGATAAATCTGAGTTTAATTAGGTTAGCCTGATTATCAAAGAACTATATCATTAAAAGATAGGACAGATGAAAAGAATTGAACAAAATCAATGACAGACATGTTTCTTTGGGGGCAGGTTGTATCAGACCCTTTTATCAAACTGAAAGTGAGTACATAAAATGCTACTTAGGAAGTCCACTTCATTAATCCTATTTATTTCAAAAGTTCAGATCCAGGGTGCTTCCAAGATGCAGATCTCCTAGCGCTCGCAATTAAAATGTACTGTATAGCTATTTCATATTCCCCTTATTAGCAGTATTTATCTTTCTTTTCTGTGATAAATACAGACTAAGCAGTTGGAAAACAAAGGAAAGGTACACCTGGTATCATATTTATTTATTTATTTATGTATAAATCAAACTGTTTGACAAACAATTCATTTCAGAAATCTGGATTGACTTATCCACTGGTCAAAGCTGAAATAGGGGCTTAAGATGAAGGCATTGAGAAGAGGCAAAGGCAAGAAGCACTCCCATTTCATTTCCACTGCCTTGCCCAAAAAAGAGAGAAAAACACAAATGCCTCTTTCTTTCCTTGCCTTCTTTTCTTTATTAGCCCAAGTGGCATTCTGCAGCAATGTGGGAGAGCTTGAATAATGTGGTGTACCTGCCATTTTGGATACCTGAGGTTGAGCAGAAGAGTGGCCATTTTAAATAAGGGCTTCTGGTATAAGTTTCTATAGACCATAGGAGCCATTTTTAATAGTGGCATAAGGTAAGTTTTATCCTTGACTGATCTATAAGTCAAAGCAAAATCCATAGCATTGACCTCCAATTCTGCCCTCCATTTACAGATGAGGTCCATGTATACACTCTTGGTAATTCCAGGAGTGAGATGGGATAATGGCACGAGAAAAGCCTCACTAGGAAGCACTGTGTGTCATAACCAGTGATCTATATCCTCATGTATTATTGTTACATGCCATCCAGTTGCCTTTGGCCTATGGTGATCTGAAAGTTAAGAGACCCCCAAAAGATCATCTTGTAAACAGCCCTTGCTGCATCTGACCCACACAGGACAATGGCCTCTCCAATTGAATCAAACAGCAACCTATAAAGCAATCTTCCTCTTTCCTACTAGCTTCAACTTTACTAAGCGTAAGCATGTTATCCAGTGAGTAAATTCATCTCATTACATGTGCTCAGTTTAGTCATTTTGTCTTCTAGTGAAAATTCAAAGTCAAATTGCTTTCTGTCCTGTTTATTTGTTCTATCTGTGACATTTAAACTAAACATGTCAGTTTTGATATTATGTGCAACAAAATGAAAATAAAACCCCTTCTGGTTCTTGGACAGGGAGACATATGATTTCGGTGGAATACTTATGTATCAAAGATTATATATATATGAAAATGAATCAGTCTATTTACAAGTCTTTATGGAAGCTACAGTATTTGTTGCTGGAATGTAGAAAAAAATAAATCATGAATTTAGCATATGTTAAACAAACAAAATGAAGGAAACTGTTAAATTGATCCTGGCAAAGAAGCTAATGGGTTAAGAGGGAGGGTTAAAATTGGTTTAAAAAACCAATTAGAAATGAGTGCCAATGAATAACTGAGAAGTAGCATACCTATGTAGAATGAAGCTGTATCTAGGAAAAGAAAAGGCATAAATCAAATGAAGAAAAGAATGTGAAAACAAACAGAAAAATAAAGCTGAGCACAGTCACAGGAAAAACAGTGAGACATTTCAGAGTGAAAAAAAAGACAAAGGATACCACGATACAGAGATGATATCTCTACATAGCGGACTAGAATGCAGTCATTGGTTCTACATTTTGATTCTCAGTTCAGAAGATATTTCAAAAAATTAAACCTATGTCATAATTGGCCTCATTTTATACAAATGTATACAAATTAAGTCTCCCTCATCAGAAAATTCACAATCCAAAATACTCCAAAAACTGAAACGTTTGTTGACACCTGCCAATTTCCACGTTCGAGGAAAGGGGGCTAGCCACATGTCCAGAAACTGCTGAGTTTCTTTTCAAGGAGCCCTGGTGTGGGAAACAGAAGTAGAGGAGAGACTCTACTGACATAAGACCCTTGTGAAAGAGCAGACATCCCAGATATTTCCCTGCTTGTCTTATACCTGGCAAATGCAGGGAAGGTGACCTGGAAATGACTGCAAGAAGAAATACAGGGCAACTTTATTGGATGCTGCCTGTATCCAGGTCTGAGAGATCAAGAAATAAACTCAAGAGGTGCATGATGGTGATGGTGGGAAAAGTGTGCTGATAACGTGTGACTAGCCCTCTGGACAATAGAAGTTATTCGATTTGTCAGAAATATGTTGCTGCCTCCATATGATTACTAAAACCAAGATTTGGCACATAGGGAGGGTGGGTAGGAAGAAATACTGGGGGAAAAAAAATCTTATCTATTTTCCCAAGAACAAGATTCACATTTAAGGAATATGTAAAAAAGACACAAGAATTCAACACAACAATCTGTTGCCATAAGCAGCAACCCGAACCAGTGTTATGAATGTTAAGGTAAAGAAACTGTAGTTGGCAACAAGACAGAGGCAGAGTTTATGAGGAGAAGAGCAGGAAAGGAAATGGGAAAGTAATCATCTGGAGACTGTAGAAGTAGCACAAAGGGGACAATAAAGAAAGGAGCTGTTTGAGGGCCGTGGGTGGGTGGGTGGGTGGAGATGCTAAAAATGGAACACAAATGCAGCCAATGCTATAAACAAAACAAAACACTGATACCACCTAAGAACACTCCATTGAGTTGTGAAATTCCACAGTCCTTTCACCTAGTGGCAATGTCTAATCCATCTTGTTGTGTTGTCTTGAGGATTACAAGCAAATTAAGTACCTTGATTACAGTTGTGTTCCAATCATAGATGCGAAGTTTAGTTTATCTAAAATATTTTAAGCCACAGCATATGACACCACTTACAGAGATTCTGTAAGTGGTGTCATATGCTGATAAGGTTTAGACGAATACTATTGTTATAGACAAATGGAGGTGGGGAAGAAGTAGGAGAAGTCACCTCCATTTCTAGGCAAAGAATTCCTGTACTCCATGGTTCACAACAGAAACACCTGATTTATATAAATAAATGAATGCTCTAAACCAAATGTAGGTTACCTGATACATTACAGATTTTT